TAAGATTGTTTGCATGAAATAGGTACAGATTTAAACTAAATCAAGCAAAAAACAAAATGTAGGGATATGTATTAGTCCATTTGTGTTGCTTATAACAAAATACATAGAACCGGGTATTTTATAAAGAAAATGAAATTTATTGTTTACAGTTTCTGAGGCTAGGAAGTCCAAAGTCCATCTGGTGGTGGCAACAGCAACCCTGGGGCCTCATATTACAAGATAGTGGAAGCAGAGAGAGCAGAGAGAGAGAGACAGACTCTCCTCTTCTTTTAAAGCCCTCAGAACCATGCCCCTGACCACCATTTTTAATCCATTCACTACTGCACAATCCTACAATCCAATCACCTCTTCAAGGCTCCACCTTTCAATTACCATAATAGGATTTCCCACCCTCTTAAGAATCACAGCTGGGGCTAAGTTTCCAATACACAAAACCTGGGGGACACAATTCAAGCTTCAGTGAGTTTTGCGGGGGACATAATTCAATCCACTACACATGTGTACCATGGAAGTGATTTAGTACAAAATATTTACTAGGTATTTAAGAAGCTGATAGCTGGTTGCATTGTAGAAGGAACTGTGTGATTGAGGAACAGAACTGGAAAAGAGACTTTTTTTACTTTGGTACTTTTTGGATTTTGTATCATTTGCCGTCATTGCATACTAAAAATTAATTCATTTTAAATTAGCCGTTGCTATTGTCTACCAAATTGTTTCTGAAAGTAGGGAATATGTCTACAATACATTTATCATTAAAGAGTTTGTGTATTTGTGAATAAATTAAGTACACTATATAAGAAAGTTTTTCTCAATGGAATTAGGTTGTTGTTTTCTTTTTCAATTGTGTACTATAATTGGCTACTGTATATGTTAACCATTGTTAATGACAGAAGGTAGTTGAAAATTAGATGATCTGTTATTGGTTAATGGTGGAAGTGAAATGAGAATGCTTTCTATTTAGAAAAAGTTTATATTCATAGATCATTTTACTATTTTTAATATTAGTTTCATAGGTAGAAAAGATGTGATACAAAAAATTTGTGATTAACAAATACATGGCATTTATATTAGTTCCTAGATAAGAAACTTGGTCCGTTTTGTGTTCATAGTAAACAGAAGCAATACTGTTTTCTATGTAATGTAACTTGTCTTTACTAACACAAACACTAGTACAGAGAGAACTGAATTGACGTTTGGTTTTTGAATTAATGAGATGAATATAAGAAAATTATTAAAAGCTTTACATTAAATTATTATGTTTCACTTTGAGTTTTTAATGTTAAAGTAAGTATTGAAAGAAATGGTAAATTGTCAATGTATGAGTGTATATCTAATTCAGAGTCCCGCTAAGTAGTGTTTGCCGTGTTTAAGGAAATTTGCAGAACATCTTAAGGTCGTATTTCTTTGTCTACTTGTACATATTTCTCTAGAATATTTTCTACCCCCAATAATGTTGGTATGCTTTGTTTAATTTCAACTCAAAACTTTCATCTGTTTCAGACCTTCAACTACTTATTATTACTTGAAGGATCTAATAATATTTTATCAAAAATATTTGGCTGCAGTGAAAAGATAGAGCCTTAAATAACCAATTAATTTGGAATCTGTTTAAGAGGGGATAGGCTTGATGCATATAGGAGGGCTTTCCACTATGTTTAATAGAACATTACGACTTGGTTTCAATTTGGAGTCTCTTAAGTCATTGGTTTCCAAACTAGACTACACAAACATAAAATATATGCTAAGAAAATAGTAGATATTTTACTGTGTGCGTATGGATAATAGTACATGATTTTAAAAGTTGGGAAACCAACTTTTTAAGGCAATTCATTGCTTTGGGTACTAAAAAAGGCAGCAATTTGGACTATCATTTGTAACTCTCAAAGTAAACTTGGAATGTAAACTCAAGTGTTTTCTTTCCTTTTTAAAATGTTGAGAAATAAACATGTTTACAGTAATTTAAGGGCATTCATCCCAATTGGGTTACATCTGTCTTTTGTTTTATATTTAAGCCAAGTTTGTATACCTTGGATGAATACCTTTAGATTTCTTGCCACCTGAAAATACAGATGATTTCAATACCAAAACCATACTCTTTCTTTTCAGTTAATTGTAGTTTCAGGCCTTTGCATGTGGGGTCGCTTTCCTTGGTATCCAAACTGCAAACATTTTCTCTGATTGCTTTATGCTCTGTGATACCAATGAGATGTCTTTTCCTGCCCTGTGTTTCCATGTACTCAGTACTTTGTGGTATGTGTATTGTGAGAGACAGCAGTAAGCAAATGCTTATTGATGGCTATAATTTATGAAAATTCATGTTTTTATCTCAGATATTCAAGATTAAAGCAGTGCAATTGGCTGAGAAACTCCTTCCTGCCTTTAACACACCTACTGGGATTCCCTGGGCAATGGTGAATCTGAAAAGGTAAACTCTATTTTATGTGGTTATTTGTTGCTTTGCCTCCCACAGATTTGTTACCCCATTTCCCCTGGGTGATGGAACCACCAAAGATTACTCAAAGCCCATCTCTTTTGAGCAGTGAGAAGCCTCCAAAAGGGGTTAATTTCCCTGAACCCTCAAAAGCAAGGCATTCCTTCCATTTGAGAAATTAACCCCGAATTGGGGTTCTCTTCCTGCATTTATACTCCAGACCAAGAAGTTACAGGAAGAGACATAGTTTGAACAAGTTTAACAATAGAAGCTGTAACATTCAGTAAAAACAAGTCAGATGACATTCTATCAGGCAATTAAGTGATCTACCAACAAAAGCTTGATCTAGCAAACATTCCTTCTCCCTCCATCAGCTTTCCAGTAATCAATAGAAGCTGTAACATTCAGTAAAAACAAGTCAGATGACATTCTATCAGGCAATTAAGTTATCTACCAACAAAAGCTTGATCTAGCAAACATTCCTTCTCCCTCCATCAGCTTTCCAGTAATTTTACATATCAGTCAGTAACTAGTCTGTCTTTGAGCCAGCAACCTTGCTGCGTTACAATTCCTTATCTTACAACAGAGATTTTATAGCCTGGGGAAAATTTCCTGTCCTTTGCAAGGTCAATATTTGAAACTACGAGGCTTTGGAAAACCAGGCCTTGTGAAGTACATTTGCTTTATGAATACTCCACAGTTACTTCTGTTCTGAAAGAATTAAATTAACAATTAAATTAAAATTAATTAGTTAAATTTAATTAATTTTGACCTTTTAGTATTAAAAATTTCTAATGATCTGCTCCCACCATACATTTTAAAATCTTAACATTGTTTTTCTCTGCATATATGCAGAAGTTTGTTTCTTTAAAATATTTTCTGATTTTTTGAATATTTCCTTTAGTTTGAAACAGGTCACCTGACTTAATTTCAATCCTGTTTTTGCTACTTGTTTCTCTAGTCTTAGATTCTCTTCCCTGCCTCTGTGGTTCTTTTTATTTGCTTATTTATTTCCATTTACTGTTATAATGGATTCAAAGTATATTTCTTCTTTTCTTTTTATATACCATCTGCTGATCTAAGTCAAAATTGAAAACAATATGCTTAGAAACTAGGGCTTCCTATAGTTGAATGTCTTATTAATGATAGGAGAAGACATAATTCATGATGTTGACTGTATGGACTTTATTATAGTATCCACACTATTGAAGGTTAGACTGAACTCTTAAAGTGTTCTTTGCAATCTATTTCATTCCTAATAGAAAACACTGTTTTTTACTTAGAAATAGATAAAATGTTTACTTTGGACAACTTTATAAATCATGGAAAGATATACAATTAAAATTTGAATAATGTCAACATCTTTTAACTTGCATTTAAATAATTCATGTTGACTGAAATTTTTGTTGCTCATTTTTTCTCCAAGTAAAATTTATTATTCATCTTAATGTCAGAGTTTGGAAATTACATGAAAATTTGACTGTTGCTCTTCTTGCACCAAGACCCCTTAGAATAAAAATTAGGAGCATTTTATTTTTCTGGAAATATGAATCTGTGACAACTTAAGTTGAAAAAACTAATTTATATTAATAATTTCTTTCTAAGGAAGAACTTTATAGAAATTAGATTTACATTGTGAAATCAGAATTTAATACTGAGGGCCGGCCCGGTGGCACATGCTATCGCGC